TCATCTCCATTTCCATTAGCTCTGCCAAGATGACTTCTCTAACTTGACCACCCAGACTTACTTTGGTCCACCATTATTTTTTAATCCTGGGTCAGTGACATCACACACACACAAAAAAAAAAAAAAAAAAAAATATATATATATTTAAAATAATGCTTTCAGTGCTTAGTTCAGTTCAGGTTTTAAAATGTTGTGTCTCCCCAAAAATGTAACAATTGATAAAACTTAATTAACAATTCATATGATTATTTTAATTTATATATTAATATAAATATTATATAATTTTCATTTTTGGTCATTAATTTTAAACTTTTCTTAAACTGTATTTTTCTCCAAAACCAACATGAATACAAAGAGTAATTTTCTCATTAGAGTAATGTTTTAAGCTTGATGTTCCTTCTCGTTATTGTGGATACTCCTTTTTTTTTTTTTTTTTTTGATCCATTAACCAACATGGACCAATTTAGATATTCAAGTTGGTGTAATGTTGCTTTCATACTTCACTCCATGATGCCTTGCTCATCTCTGTACATGTATGCTCCCTTTCTAATGTGCTCAACTTTCACTGACTTTCTCTTGTATTTTTTAGTCAGACAACATGTTGGCCAGCCCGGTGTATTTTCTGCTGACCCCAGGAGTGTTTTTGTCTAGGAGGTGACATTGTTTCCTGACCCTGGGGAGATCCTGTCACGATGCACACTCATCTGGTCTCTGATTGCTTTCTATTTCTCCTTGTTTTTCAATAGCACACTATATCTCTCCCTTCATCTCAGCAGGCTTTGCCTCATGAGGAACAGTTTCACCTTGAGCGGCTCAGAGTTTGATCCGAGTACCGCTTTGCCCCATCCTTAGAAATACGGTTTGTTCATGGGTCAGCAGACTACTAATGACTGTTATTTAAGGTTCTGTTTTTCCACACATCTACAAGCGAAAACGTCTTTGTTATGTATTATAAACATTCAGCGGTAACCTTGTTGCAACGTTTTGTCACGGTCTTGTCTTTTACCTTGGATTAGATTGTACATTAGAGTTGTTTTCTGGCAATTTTGTCCTCTTTCTTTTCTGTTGGTTTCTTTCCATTGTTCATGCTCTATTGTGAGCTCTGTGAATGGAACAACATTGCTGCATGTTTCCTGTCAGTCACGCTGGTTTTAAAGGAGAGTGTGAACTCATCGACTGTTGACTGTTGTGGTGCCGTCAGAGCTGTCCATCTCTCAGTGTCAGCCAGTGAAGTTGTCATTTCCAATGTCATTCTGACATGGAAATAATCAAGCAGAGTCAAAAATGGTTTACCCTCCTCCTCCAGCACCCACTTTGAAAAATGTTTGTGCTCCTACTCACGCACCTCATGTGGCTTTCAGCTTGTTGATCCTCTTTATGAGGCTTTGCGACTTTGGATCTTTTTTTTTTGAAGCGTCCTATTTTGAAGTTATGGCATATGATCAAACAATTTAGTGTGTTAGCAAAAAAAGTCAATTTGCTCATCCCATGGCTTTTCACTCCAGTATGCCATGGTTCAAGGCTAGAAAACACTACATGACTTCAAAATCTGAACAGATCTCAAAACACTAAGCATCATACACTTGTTGACTTTGTAAATGGTTACAAAGAAAAACTGGGCACCACACACTAGATGACTGGGCATCACACACTACCATTCATTCTGAACACAATACACTTATACAGAAATGTCTTGTTGCTAGGAGATGGCGACGCATGACAAATGAAAACAATGTGTGTTCTAAAATCAGCTCAAAATTGTTTGCTGTCCTCCGGCTGGATGGAATCATGGTCTGCCCATCATACACCACTATGTCTACACAACTTTCTCAAATTGCAGAATTGCGCAGATTCTTTCAGAGACACAAATCTGGGCAAAAATCTGTTGTGTATTTAGGCTTTTAAAATGAATATTTCTACCTTACTCTTCCCAGCAGCATACAGAGTTAGCAGACTTGTATATAGACCAATATATAAAAATCTTGATCATTTTTATGTCTGGCAATAATGCACCAATCGTGATGTTATGGAAAACGTCAGTTTGACAGTGTATGTCCATTAGACTGGGGTCAGTTTCACTTAGAGAAGGCTGAGGCGGAGCCCTTGAGGCTTTGGAGTCAGAGGTTGAAGGTACATAGAGAGGCTTTTTAGATCTAATCCTACTGAGGTACTGTAGACTCTTCATCTTCAGACAGATTAGGCTTGATCCAATATAGCTGCCAGAGGGATTACTGGCGGCTCTGTTTTTGTCATGCCCCTTGATCTCTTTTTTGTTAGGAAGTGTCCCCCTGAGTCTCACGTCAGATGTCTGGGCTATGTTCACATTACAGGTCTTAATGCTAAGTTCCAATTTAATGTTTAGATCTGATCCTTGTGCTGCTGCTCACATATTTATCCGTGTTTGTCACCTGCCCTGCTCCCGTAGCATCTCTGCACTGACTACTACCCACACACAAGTTCTCCTATTGTTTTTAAAGCACTGCTATCACTGTCAGGGTAGCGTAGTGGTTAGCTTATGTGCTTAGACGCATTTGAATTTTGGTACATATATGGGTGTCTTTGGCTATTACTAAAACTATTAAAGTGATAATTTTTGTAACAACAACAATAAATGATAATAAGTAATATGGTCACACATTAGTTTAGGGTTCAATTCTCAGTATTAACTACGACTTTTGCCCAATGTAGTTGATACGTTTAGGTAGTATTAAGGGATGTAGAATAAATAATATAATTATATATATATATATATATATATATATATATATATACTGAGGCATAGTATACAGAGGCATATATACTTGCATATATATGATGCAAGCCTCAGTGGCTTGCATCATATATGTGTGTATTTATTATATATATATATATATATATATATATATATATATATATATTTGAAGAGTTCAGATGCAAAAGCCTCTAAATGCCATTTGAAATTTTCTTCTTTAATGATGATTTTTATCAAACTTGTATATTTAAGTTCAGTAATTTCACTTAAATAACAATTAATAGGTAATTATCATTGCCATTTAAGTGAAATCACTGAACGTAAATATACAAGCTTGATAAAAAATTATCATTCTAGAAGATAATTTCAAATGGCACTTAGAGGCTTTTGCATCTGAACTCTTCATTTATTATTGCTGCTCTTGCAATAATTTTTATTGACATCCTTTTTTGTTTAAAAGTGTTTGTTTTTAATTCGGTGTCTTTGCTCTTATGTTGACGAATGTTAGGGGAGATCCACCATCTGTTAGTGATGGACTGAAGGACTTCAGTGACATCATGTTTGTCCTGTCATCCCCAGCTGCATGGCTCCACCTGTTTACGCCATCTCACGCTGACAAACTTGTCACAAAGCCAGTACATTCAATTTCTACATTTATTTATGGATGGCACCCTTGTCATCCATTGTCAGGTGTTGGTTGAATAAGAATGAAAGAACCACACTGGATCATTGAAAATTCTGCCATTTACTCATTGACTTGTTTCCAATCCCATATGACTTTTTTTCTTCTTCTGTAGGACATAAAAGAAAATATTTTGAGAAATATCTACCAACATCTTCTTTTGTGTCCTGCAGAAGAAACAAAGTCATATAGGTTTGGAACAACATTAAGGTTAAAAGGACAAATCACCTTAAAGTAAGATTAAGTGTAACCACGGAGCACTGATGTATGTCTAATCATCTCTTATGAGCCATATGTGCTGGATTCTAATACAGCACTGTGTTGTTCAGAGCTGATGTCCCATGGGTCTCTGCAGAACCGTCAAGCTGATGAGACAGCTTTATTTTTTTCTCTTCTATTAAGTGTAGGGTTGGGAATCGTGAGAAATTTTCCGGTTCCGGTTCCGATTCCGGTTCCGCCAAACGATTCCGGTTCCGGTTCCGGTTCCCATTCAATTAAAAATATTAGTAAGAGAAAAATCCACAATCCTTTTTGTGTTTATTTCTTATAGTACATGACAAATTAGTTTAACAGACTGGTAATGTAAACAAACTCAAAATATTATTAAGCAATCTTTGCAAAAAAAAAAAAATTATATATAAAGGAAATTAAAAAATTCTGCATTCTCTATAATAATTTAGACCTCTCCTTTATTGTATCTCCAACAGTGAAGAATACCCTCTCAGAAGAAATAGTATATGCTTTAACACACATATGTGTGTAGAACAGATTATTTTTTAAAACGGTTTGAATGATTGATTCATAAAGACTTTACTTATTTCATTACTGGATAAATCGGCGCTCTAGCAGTTAATAAACAGAACTGCATGCGTCTTGCGGAAGAACATTGTTGCCGGAGCTACTTCTCTCTGTTTATGTCCATGACGAGTCACGCACGCAGGCATTGGGCTACTCCGCAGCAGCTGCGATACGCCGGCCAGTCTAAAGAAGTCCGAGTATTAACGCTTATTACAGGCTTTACGTAGTGATTCAAGATAAGACAAAAACACGGTTTGAAAAAAAAAACATTATGATGCACTCGCTCATTGTATATATTTTGTAAATTCTGAACACAAAAAATATACAGACTGCATCTGTTTTGACCACTACCGTCAATGTTTACTCAAACTATAATCTCACTAATTCTGTAACGGAAATCATTTGAATATGTGAAACAAATAAATATTGAGACTGTGATTGTAAAGCAGTTTCATATCGACAACTGCTCTCTTTCTCTCTCAGCGCAAACAGATTTGAATGTAGGCTAGAGAGTGACTCGGCGGTCGGCGCGCGCAGCGTGCGTGTGTCTGTGTGTGACAAATGCAGCGCGTGTGAGAGCAAATCGCAACTTCAGTGGTGAAGTTTTTGTCATTTAGGAATAAAACGGCGTCTTCTACTCCCAGCACTTCGCCCACATGATGATATCGCATCGGCATCAGAACCGTTTTCGGAACCGAAACTTAGGAATTTTGCACGGTTCCGGTATTTTTTCAAAAACACAACCGGTTCTGGAAAAGAACCGGTTCTCGGTTCCCAACCCTAATTAAGTGATTTTTAATCAACCCAATGTTTGCATGAGGATGGCCCAGGGGTCCTGACCAGAGAGGACGGGTTTTGGAAGGGTGGACCCTGGGGAGATCAGCTTTAACTGCAGGAGGTCTGGAGATGCTCAAGATGAGGATGTCCTATTGGAGACGCCATAATTAAAAAGTTAAATATCTTGCATTAAACCTCATTATTGAGAATTACATCAAATCTAGATTACTTCTAAATTTTTATGTGTGCTCATCAGCGTTTCATGTGTCCTCATATGTGTCCTGAAGCTCTTTTCGATGGATGGTGCGTCACACAACGGTGGACATCAGCTCTTTTTCAAAAAGAAGGTTGCTGTTTTTCATCTCAGTTTATTTAATCTGCGCTTTGCAAACAGACCTGCGGCCACTGCTCTCCATCTCACTTTATTGTGTTACAGCCTCAATACACTCAGCCAAATCATGGTGTCCCTGCTTGGAGAAAAACACACACTGGCTGCCATGGCCCCTTTGCCATGTTCAACAGTGAAGTGATGTTGTGCTGATGCTTTTTGAGGGACATTCATTGAGCAAGAGGACACTTCTGTTTCCCTCTATGCTGTAAACCAATTATTGTGTCAGCCCTGGAGAGCACAGCAAGGTAAATATCGATACGTTTTGTGATGCATACCTGAATTTCCCCATCTATCCACTTCAGCCTAAGTTACACGCACGCATCCTTCCACAGTGCGCGGGCGCGTGCACGCGGTCCAACAGACAGCGGTGGGGAGATAACTCCTAACTTTGTTTTGACACTTTTGATTAAGGACCATTGAAGGGACACCTGTACTGCGGAGATGAACAATAGCCGGGCCCCAGGAGAGATTGATTTTCTGCATGAGAAGAGGAGTCTTTGTCTAAAGCCACACGCTCCTTTCTTATGCTAACGAGCCATGGAAGATTTCCAATTCAATTTCACCTGAGCGCTGGTCAGCTCTCCGCTCTTTTGTGTGGCGTCCCTCGAGCCCCCCAACACACTCGCACACACATGCCCAGCTGCAATTTGGCTTTGGTGGGTGGGGAGTCCACAGGGAGGTGGATGGAAGATTGACAGGTGGCTTGGAGCTGTGATATCTCTCAGCCGTGTTGCATCACAGAAGAAGCGGTGTCAGCGGCCCATGCCTTTACCTTAAAAGGCGGATCAGGGGGATTCTGCTGGGATTGATCTGAAATACCCTGATGCTTACAGTGTGTGCGTGTTTTTACAAAGCTATTAGTGTCAATTCTAATTTATCCGCTCTAGCATGATTTATACCGCTGCACCGACTTATCATGGACAACACAGAGATATCAAGACGAAACGATGACAATAAGATTCACTTATTTTCATTTTTATTCATGCTGTTAGTGTTACTGTAACTGGCAAGCTTTGTTGGTGATGCAACAATTAAACCCAAGCAATAACAATGTTGTAATCCTCCATGATGACTGTGCCTTCATACAATCACAGGACTCTGAAGCTCAGCTCACTCTCTTCCAACAGTTATGCATTGTGCCTTTAACTCCTTAATGTTTATTAATGGGGTCCTATCATGCTTTTTCACTTTTTCAACTTTATTTTGTGTGTATAATGCTGTTTGAGGATAAAAAAGATCTGCATGGTTAAGCTCAAAGTCCTCTCCAAAGAGATATTTTATTTACAGTATTCTCTTTCTTTTTTTTTTTTTTTTTAAGAACTACAACGTTTTTTTTCCAGATCTTGTGAATTCACAATGTTACTCATTTAAACAATCCGCGGCCACGGAATACGCAAAAAACGAGGGGGACGAGGCCTGGTTGAGCTGCTGTTATGTCAAAGAGACGCTGGTTTTTCAAAACCTCTTTTCCAAAACCTTTTTTTTTTTTACCTTCCTTAGGTTGACGAACATAGTTAAAGTTCAAATGTATTTTAACCACTGTTCCTGAACATTATAACCTCAACGTTTATCTGTGTGCTGCACATTTTACCTAGAACAGATTCTGGAAAATAAGAGAGTTCAATGCAGGCTATGCACAAAAGCTTCTCCTTAAATGAGCAGTTCCCACTTTGTCTGGACAATCTGTTGTTCAATCTATTAAGCATGAAAGCATATTCTAGTACACCCCAAACACAAAATCAATACTTCATAAAGGGCATAATAGGACCCCTTTAATATTTACCTTATGAACCTGTTTTTTTTTTTTTGTGTAGTAGTCTATATATCACAAATTAGATCACTGTTTCATAGTTTCTACAAGACTCCTGGGCAGTTTTGTCATAATTTACCTACCCTCATGTCATTCCAAATCTGTTATATTGTTATATACCTGATATTTTGAAGATATGTTTGCCCACACAACTCATTGGTCCAAAAACCACACTGGACCCCATTGACTTTTATTGTATGGACAATGTTTGCATTTACAGGAATACCACAGTAATTTCACATTCTGTTTGTCTCTTCTGAAATATCAAAACTTCTCAACAATGTCTCAAATAGCGCAGATTTGTCAAAATACCAAAATACAAAGTCAGAGTTTTCAAAATCTCTCATCAAATTCTTTGAGTTTCTTATAACTCTACGCTATTACCGTATGCCAGAAATTCTCATTTTTTTCCCATCTTTTCTTTCTCCTACAAAATTTTAATGTCGGAGACAACTGACATGTTAATTCCTAACATAACATTATTTTTTTTTTGCAAAAACAGACATGAGATACTAAACATACTAAATATTTCTATTTTCTAGTTCTTTTTTTATTAATGTGTAGATAAGAAATAAATTATCTGCCAACTTAATTGAAAAATTCCCCTCTTAAAGATGACCTTAATTAAAGCATAGATGGATTATGTGGCTAAATGGCACATCGACTGATTAAGATTTTGTAGTGACTGAATTCAGGCAAATGATAGAAAGAAATGCTCTTATTAATACAATGCTGAAAATTAAAATGTGATATCTAATACTTGAATAGACTTTTTCAGCTCTTTTTCTGTTTTTAATGTTGCTATAGAAATTATTTAGAGATTTGCACTGAGTTAGTCAGAAAAGCAAGTGCTTTTTTTCTCAGTTGATAGAAAAGCAGTGAGCACATATGGATGAAACTGATCCAAGTAGTACTTTGTTTTGGATTAATGAGCACAGAGCTCTGCGAAACCTGATGACCAAGTCCCTCAGATAATAATTGGTCTTGTTCCAGATGTTGATTTTGTGTTGAGGGGAAGTATTAAGGTTTCACACATTGTTTTTTCTTCTAGATTTCGTTTACACGATTTAGTGTAACTATTTTAAACATTTTACTTATGTGTATTTTTACTGAAGTGTTGCCAAGACTTCATGGTGGCACCTCAAATGGCTTATAAAACAAGAAATTTGTGATGCAATAATCTGCAATTATGTTGTGCTATCATGCAAGAGTGACTCAGCTATTAACGATTTCCCCCATCGCATAGCGAACTCTTAATTAATTTGTTGCTTATTTGAGCGTACGAGTAGCTGGTTTTCTTTCTGTATCGCACGTCTTTATTAGGTAATTCGATACCTCAGCTAAAGCAACATGTAATCTTTGCCCAAGGAAATGATATATTTAGTGGCAGGGGTATTGTTGGGCCTGTTACTGTGAATATGAAAAATAATTAAGGCGGTTTGATCCTGAATAGACGCATGACTGTTCTTTGAGACGTGCTTTCTTTGGACTCAGACTGTAAAATCGTTTGAGTGCTGTTTCCTGTGGCTCTTTGCACCATCCTCTGAGCGCAGTCTGAAACATGTTCACCTCCGTAGCACACATGGGGCCCTACAGGCCCCTCTCAGAGAAAAAGGGAAATGACTAAAAAGAATAAAGGAAAAATTGAACAAACACCGTTCCTCCTGGGTTTAGTGTCTTGGTAAAATCCCAAATCCCCTCTTTTTAATTTTTTTTAGACTCCAATACCAATTCTACGCCTGCCAATCTTAAGAACAGGATTTCCTTGGTCTGCTTCCCATATTCCTGTCTTTCTGTCTCCCTCCTCCTCTCTGCAGTGCTGGAGGCATGATTAGGGGTGTTCAGCTCCTGCCCCCGCATGTTGGTTACAAGATGCCCCCCTCTCCTCTTTAACTCCCCCGAACGCACAACTGACATTTCTTACCTCTGACTGGAGCACTTGTTTTATTAATTCGGTTTGATTCACGTCTTCATCACCTTCAGTCATTGATTACTAAATTCAGGCTTCTTTGGCATTTTTAGGATGAGAGTTGATTCAAGGCTGCTGAATCACAGGACTGTCATCATCAGAGCTGAGAGGAGAAACATGAACTGAATAATAAATCAGCTCATGAATGTCCAGTATACCATAATTTGTTTAGCATTTTTCTTGTCGTGCGGCAGGACACGTAAAATAAGTTTATAATTAGTCAGTATACAATTCAGACATTCCTGCATGTGAGAATGACACATAGATTTAATGATCCCATATTTTTATCTGATTTCTTTTTTTTTGATTTGTCATTATAGAATGTTGTTGTTGTTGTTGTTATTATTAAATCTAAGAAATGTTTGCTATGTGAAAGTGAAATTCAGTCAAATTTATTTTTTTTACAATATTTAACAAAATTTACGCCCAAAATGCTCTACAATTAAAAAATAAAATAAAATAAAAACTTTACTAGCAAAAACATCTAATACAAAGGAGAAACAGGTGAAATTTAAGTAACAACAACAACAAAATGTAAACAATGCAACAGCAACAATGTTTGATTTTATCTGGAAGCATATTTTTATAGTTATCTGAATGATTTCATTAATATGAAGCATCATTTTTCATAACTGACCTTTAACAGTTTTGGGACTGAAGAGGTTAACAGTGCGATGTGCTGGTTTTGCCCCTAGTTCTTGTCCACTATGAACTGGAAATAAGTCTGTGGATCAGACACATGACCTGTCCTTTGCTTTTCTTGAGTTTTAGTTCCCTAATGACCATTGGAGCTGTCATTCAGTGACTCTGGTTCATACATCAAAGTTAGACACCCTTACCAGACACTGTCCTTTCATCTATGGAAGATGAATGTAAAGCTGTTATGCGATGCCTATCAAGTTCACGTGTAAGGTCAACAGTCACCCAAGGGTCCATTTGAGACAGGTAGAGGAGATGGTGTAAAGTTACACTTGTTAGAGGAGATGGGTGCTGCGTTAATTAGGTTTACTCCTCCTACTCCTGCCCCCCCCCCACCCACCCACCCACCCACCCACATTTCAGTTATCTCTGTCCTTCTAAAAATCTACAACCTCAATTTCAATTCCTGTTTCATTACCAGTACTGTACATGATTAGATTTGTATAGCAAGCGGTTCATATTATTTGTGCGAGGGCTTGTAGTAAATAAATCCGAATGGGGCATGTTTGTGTGATGGTTAAATGGTTTATTTCAGAAGCGTCATGCACATGCCCCATGCACATGATGTTTGAGCCAAGTGGATTTTGATTGGTCTGACTGATTAACAATAATACAAATAATATGAAGATCAAAATTAATCTGCATGATTATTGTAGTTTGAAAAGTGTTTGTCTAAAAACCTGCGGCAGAAACATCCCATATTC